AGAAGGCTAGGTATTCGTTGTTGGCAATAGTTCCTATTCTGTCTGGGTATTGATCAGGACAAACCTCATATCTTGGATGATTCTTGAGTGGGCAAGAGGAGTTCATACATTTATTCATACAACTGGTGAACACATAATGCTCTCCGTACATGTGGTCACAGTTTTGTTGCGAATTGTTTTGGAGATGTAATTCAGTTTTGTTACTCACCCCGAAATAATCATGATCAGGAAAAATGAAGAGTTCTTTCACGCAGTTAACCTTGTCGAGGCTTGCGATGCTTCTGAGTCCTTTCATGCAGTATGTCAGGTTTTTTAGGAGGCCATTCTTCGAACTGGAGATAGATGTGGATATTGTTTGGGAACTTCTAGATAATGAACAAATCTTGTTCTCGTTTCCACACGTTTCAAGTCCGTCACAAAGTTGATTCAATTCCACATAGCCGCCATCTCCAGAGAGACAAACAAAAACATTTTCACAGGTTGTATTGCTGGTAACCAATCTATATGTCTTGCCCCTCCCACATGTCGGCCAAATCGCCAATTCGTCGCTTCCATCAATACAATCTTGTACACCGTCACTTAACCAGGTTAAAGGCAATGTCAGCTCACCTGCTTTTCCAACTTTTCTTTCGCAGGTGTTTTTGGTTTGACTGAGACATATTGGATGTAATTCGTCAGCATTGTCATCACAAAAACGTTTGTTGTCACACATCATGTGTTTGTGAGTGTAGCAAGATTTTGAAATGTTGAGACATTGACTTTCAATACGATCATCACATATCGATACGCCCACAGCACAGATCATGTATTTGGAAACAGTAGATTTGAACCCGTTTATGTTGCACGTAGCTCCAACTCTAGCTGGATCTGTGCAATTTGTTTGAACTTTCTTCATGTCTGTGCAATAAATATAATATTTATATTCTGTCATCTGATTCAACGTCACACATTTCGTAAAATTGTGGATTGGCACCACAGCTTTCGAAAAGGATTGCACACATTTGTTCCTTGTATTTTTAGTAACTGTACAGTTGACCTCATCTGCTCTGTCGTCACAATCTCTCCCTCCGTCGCATATTGAGTATGGGTTAAGGTATACAGATTCCCCAAAATATGTGCAATACATTCCATAAGTTAGGCCGTTACATATAGCCTCATCCTGGCAGTCTTCAACCTCACACCTATCGTTACAGACGAACTTAGACTGAACCACTAGTCCAGTTGGCAAGGTTGTCGTATTTGAACACCTAGTCTCATCGAGGTCTGTGTTTGTGCAGTCTTGAACACCGTCACAAACCCATCCCCATGCATTTAGATCTGTGAGGGTTACAACAGGATCACCTCCTTTTTGGGTAAACTCACAAATTTGGTTGCCACATAATGTATCATCACTGTCCCTGTTCGTTATGCTGTATCCTGCAACTCTTCTGTCACAAGCTTGGTAAAAGTAAGGATCCTCAGAGCAAGCTTGTCCATGTTTATTCGGCCAGAACTTAGTGCCAAGGTAATAAAACTCTTCAGAAGCATGGCACTTGTACCTCTCTCCGCCCCATCTGTCATTTGAGCATCTGTACTTCAGAAACCCGCCATGTTCTCCAATATGACACGATTCAACGTCATCTGAAAGACAATGTAGTAAAATTGAAAAAGAAATTACTATAAAATCTCAGCCAAACTTCTCTCATCAAACTACAGTCCTGACAAAATCTAACTTTTTTTTACGGAAGAGCTAAAGAGATGTAGATGTTTGAGGGGTAGGGGAATTTGCCAACCCCACATCTAAAAACATATCCGTCAGGTTACCTGGTCTTGAAATACTATCTTTCGATTCTGTTGTTACAAACAGCCAAGAAGTAACTGAATATTTAAAATTCGTTAACATCCATTTGGTTTCAAATATCCAAGTAGTTTCTGGACTCCCATATAACCAAGTAGTATCGTAACTCGAAACATCTGTTTTTAATTCTGATGGTCGACCTGTCACCGAATGTTTTTCCGGAACAGTTGTTGAATCTGAATTGGTAGAAATTACACGCTCAGACAATAACAATAAGGATTGAATTTTTGCAACTGATAAGGCGGTCGTTGTCTTGTGAAAGGGGGTTCAGGGTCATTCGCTTCCGGGAGAGAGTTCGGTCTGTCCCTGATTTCCTGGGTGTCCTTCGTCCAGTGTGACTCCGTTATTGGCTCCGAGCAGGGACAGAGAATACTGATAATGCTGATTATAAATCTATAAATCTACCTGAATGCGAAGATTCCGATTTGGGTGATGAAGAGGCTAAATCAGACAGGATCAGTATCAAAATGAACGTCAACATTTTACTCTGCATACCGTAATGAAAGGTAATGGTTGAACTTCTTCTAAAAGTGTCCAGCCTTTTAAAGGTTAAGAGGGATCAGTGTCGAGCGTCATAGAGAGTATTTTTTGGTTATGTGCTTGTATTTTGTCGTAAATAATTTCCATTGTTCATCTTACGTTACTTTGAAATAGCCTGCAGCTCAGATAACAACAGATGTCTATGGAGATCGGAGCCCAGAGGTACATTTTCATTTAAGTTTTTAAGAAAGTGGTTTCAAAGTAACTGAGCAGCCAACTATAAGTGGATAGAACAGGCAATGTCATGAACCCGGCCCTCAAATTTGATCTCAGAACGTTATCATAAATTGCAAACCCTTTGTTCAATGAAAGAATAAGTTTTCGATGAAAAAATATTTTAGAGCAGCAATGCTGCCAGCTGCTGCAGCACAAGGTAGTTGAGGATGTACACGATTTTTGACATCACAGCGTTATTCGTATGGAAGTTATGCATCAAAAGCGTTTAGATATGCACTTTTTCGTGCACCTTTGCACAAACTTTATTGAATTACCTTTATAGAAGAAAAGAATATATAGAAAGAAGAACAACAATTAATAATGAAAACGAATGAAAACAAATGAAAACAAAGAAATTCAGAAAGAAGATGAATAGTCTAAAAGATGAAGAGATAGAAGAATTTCTGCGCTTAACCATTGACTAAACATGCCATCCCCACATCAACCTGAAATTATGTAATGAATGAACAGGTTTTGTCTATCTATATCTGAGTATCTGGTATATTCAAAGGTTTTACCGCTCGCTGCGTTGCCGAGGTATAACTTAACAGGATGTCGCAATTTACAGGATCACCAGCACATTATGCTCCTCCTATTATACCAGACAGTAGACACTTCGTATATGATTTTTTTCAAGATTTTTCTGATAACTGATACACTTGCTCCACTATCGAATAAAATCATCCTTGGACTCTCCGTTTGTAGAAACTAATCCATTTAGTCATAAACCATTCTATCCCCGCTATTTGTTGTTGCCCGCTTCGTTGCAATCTTTCTCGTGGTGTCCTTACTGCCCACACTTTATGAATCTCCTCTGGTAGCAATTATTTATACTTTTTTTCACATACACAGCAGAAAACTGTCGTTTTATTTATTTTACTAGGGTCACCATCGATCAGACTCTCCAGTTCTTTTAAGGCGTTCGCCAGTATATCCTTTTCGCAGATTTCTCCAACATTTCTGTGACTATAAGCTGGAATGATAGCTTTGCTCTTACATTGTTTGGATATCATAACTATAAGTCTGATTTCAGAAGCATAGATAAAATAAAGAAGATTAATAACCACCGGTTATTAAACTCAGCTGATGAAGCTGGGGAAAAAAATAGCGAATAAAATCTAAAGATAGTGAAAAAAGATAAAATCGACAAAAACTGGACAAGAAAAATGATTCCGTATTTAAAGAAATGATACATAGTCATGAAAAGAAAAAATGAAATAATAAGATAAGAATAATTACTGCACCCATTAAAAATACAAGAAAGAAAGAAAAAAGAAGCTAAACTTACATGGACCTAAAATATCTTCTTCTCAGTGGTCAGTCTACTACTTTTACAATAATTTAAATGGTTTAAGATATTAACTAGGTCATAAGAAGTGGAGACTTATTTCTTGTTGTTGATTTTATCAGCATGTATAGATTGAATAGTAAGTTAGTCAACCATCTTGTTGATATTTATACTTATTGTAACTTTTAACTTTTTACAATCGCATTTATACATTTAAATTGAGAAACTAAGTATCATATATTCTTCTAGAGGAAGACAATATGATACTAGTATTCCGTTACATTTGTCGGAATGTTCGAAGCAATCGTTATTTAAACATTCTCAAGCACAGAGTCACTTGGGCTAAAAAATCTGGGGTACGACATTCATGGGTAGAAGTTATAATGACGTGGATGGTGATTCTTTAAAGGGATCTGGGGATCATCCGCATATGAACAAAACAAGTTCACCGTAGAAGCGTAGAGCTTGAACAGAAACCTGGAAACAGGGCAGAGGGCCTGGAATCCTAGTGATGGCGGTCGTTGTCACAGTATGACGGACAAGAGAGGAATTGTCTCATCTTTTTCATGTATTGCACTATTCTGTCATCATTTGTATAATGTACCCTTACATATAATATCTTGATGCTACAAGTACACCAGATTAGATGTTAAGTTAACATCTTTTACTTTGAAGCTAAGTTGCTATTACTCTATTAACCTTACGTTAAAAGCGGCTCATGTAATATATAAACGATCCGTAAAATAAAATAACTATATTTATTATTAAACACGAGATGATGTTAAATTAATTTCCGTCTAAACTACTACCTTATTGGACCTTTTTGGAATAGACATTAATTGAATGCTGGAGGCCCTAACGTTCATCTTAATCTCCATTGAAATAAAGTCCGTCTGTCTAAGGTCAGTCCAAGTTATGGAGTTATCATTGTCCTCAGCAGCTATCTCCTCGGAGTTACCATCGTCCTCACCAGCTGTCTCCTTGAGGTTATCATTGCATCGTCCTCACCAGGCACCAGCTGTCTTCTTGAGGTTATCATTGCATCGTTCTCACCAGCTGTCTTCTTGAGGTTATCATTGCATCGTCCTCAACAGCTGCCTCCTTGAGGTTATCATCGTCCTAACCAGCTGTCTCCTTGAAGTTATCATCGTCCTCACCAGCTGTCTCCTTGAGGTTATCATCGTCATCACCAGCTGTCTCCTTGAGTTTATCATCGTCCTCAGCAGCTGTCTCCTTGAGGTTATTATTGCATCGTCCTCACCAGCTGTCTCCTTGAAGTTATCATCGTCCTCACCAGCTGTCTCCTTGAAGTTATCATCGTCCTCACCAGCTGTCTCCTTGAGGTTATCATTGCATCGTCCTCACCAGCTGTCTCCTTGAGGTTATCATCGTCCTAACCAGCTGTCTCCTTGAAGTTATCATCGTCCTCACCAGCTGTCTCTTTGAGGTTATCATCGTCCTCACCAGCTGTCTCCTTGAGGTTATCATCGTCCTCGCCAGCTGTCTCCTTCGAGTTATCATCACCAGGGACTTCGGCTGGTCCCATGTTGTCAGAGCCCTCGTTAGCTGTCCCTTCCTTTTCATTACTCGCGACCTCAGCTATGCTGATGTTCATGTGACAATAAGTGTCCGGAAAGATGGTAAGAAGGGAGAAGTTTTCCAGTAGAAAATTGTATACATTAAGCCTGCGTGGGTCGGATTTCTTATATATAATATTGACACTTCTACTGGTGTTGGCGTTGCCTAGATGCAAAAGGATGAGCGGCTGTCCTTCACTATCCATTTGGTTTTCAGCAGGAAATTTTTCAGTCTTATCAGGCAATATGGTGATCTTCATTCCGTTAAAGATAGGTTTAGTTGGGAGTAAACGGGTTGAGTTATTGATAGTTCTGCCAAGAAGATGCATCAAGCACTTCCTCTGGTCGATTAGGTGTGGTGATTGGCCGTACGTATGGGCACGTGAGACGGCCTCAATCTCCTCTCCGTTCCACACTGTCTCCTTGTTTCACTCGGTCAATGTGAGCCGCCGTTGCCGGGACGGCAAAGACTGCCCTGGAAATCTTACTGAAAATTGGGAACACACCAGTGTGGGCATTCCATCAGGCAAGCAGTTCAAAGTCGAGAATCTCATCATCTGAGTTATTGATTTGTATTTCTCTATTTTCTGTCCAAGAGCACTTTTGGACTGTTAGTGATTTTTTCGACAGTTCAAGTTTCAACAACTTTCGTTACTTACTCTTCTTTACTGGTTGAGTCCCATCACTTAACCCATCGTCCCCCGTTTACGTTCACTACTACATACATCGAGATTAATGTCTTAGGGGCCATCTACTTAGGACGTCCGCCAAAATCGCAGATTTTTAGACCACCCCCCTCCCCCTGTCCGGGTGTGTCCGAATATTCATGGCTAACTCCTTAGCTATCAGCAGAAACGCAGTTTGTGATCAGGTTATCTACAATCGATGTCACATCTTTAGTTACGGGATTCAGAAAGCCAGCAAGACCGCTGTCTTGGTCAGAATTTCGCGGCGGCTGTCTGGGTCAAAATAACTGTTTAGAATATTTTAACTACAAGACCGTGCCTGATCGTTTTAATACTAAATACAACTCGTCGCTAAGATGAATAATAGAACGCAAAAAATTCAGTCCCTCCTCCCCAATTCGTCAAACAAATAAAACACAGTTATCCGGTTGGATCAACAATTTATGCAGATTGTGAAATAACTTCTGCACGAATGTAAATTTATTGTAAACCAAAGTGAAATGTGCTTTTTGGTTTTCCTCTTTTTTTTTGTTGGTTTCGTCTGTTTTAATTCTTTTTTGTTTGTTTTTATGATAATGTGTAATGATAGGATACAAGGATACAAGGATACAAGGATACAAAAGTGATAATTATTTTATTGAATTCACAATAGTTATAATTCTGAAATAATTTAAGGTTACACAATTCTAGTTATTTACAAATGTGTAGGGATAAAATAGAAATGTTTTATAATACTATTTTTGAGGTCCTATAGCATTATGCATTGGCCAGTATTTGAGTGGAAATCTGGGCTCTTATAGTAGGCTGTAAAATGTTCGTTCACAGAGAGAATTGAATGGATTGCTCTTGCTGTGGCAGTAAATTTTGTAGGGTCTAGTGTTTTATCGGATAGCAAACCGGCTAGGTCAGTAATATTTTTGGGATGGAAGTTAAATTTTTCTCTAACTGAGGAGTAGAATAAACAGTCAGTTAGAACATGAATTTCGTCCTCAATAGGCTTAAGCCCCTTGCTGAGAAAGCAAAAAGTGCACCATCGATGTTCTCTTGGTACTAGGGGGGTTTCGTAACGGCCCCTCTCAATGTAAAGATTGTGGCAGCTAATACGAAACCTTGTTAAGCTTTTCCGAGCATCGGGGATCTTAACCACTCCTAAGTATGTTTCTGGTTCAAAATCATGTTTAATTTGATTGTAGAATTCTAATTTAGGTGAGGATGCCTTGGCAGATTTCCAGGTATCCACAAATTCTTCCCTCATGTTGTGACTGATTTGGGTAGAGAGCTTGGATTTTGAAGAGGATGAGTGGGGGAAGTTATATTTGGTGAGAAGATTAGAGATGTTGGTGTACCAAGGAAGGCCCAGCATAATCTGCTCGTGAAATGCAGCGGAGAGAAGTTCATTTTCAGTGCTTTCAAGACGACTATAGAAATCTATTGCAAGTTTGCAGGCTTCAAAGAAGAGGGGGTGGCGCCCACTTTCGCCCCAGCAGCCTATATTTGATGCTTTTGAATGGACAGACAAGGACCACTTGATAAACTTAAGGTGGAATCTTTCATAGTGGTCTTGTGAGATGTACCTGAGAGTATGCTGGGGGTTGGCTTTGCTATCTGTTTTGGAGAGGTATCTCATGGTTTTTGAGTGAGGACATAAGATTTGGCAGCCATATAGCAGTATCGGTTTTATTAGAGAGTCAAATAGAATGTTTAGGGAACGGTGAGAGAGGGCATCTTTGACGATATTGCCTTTGAGGCCATAGAGAGCACGGAGAGCCTTGGCCCTCAGTTCAGTATTTGCTGCTGTAAAAGATCCATTTCTGTGGAATATAATGCCAAGATAGCAGTATTTTTCGGTGTGTTGGATGGGCTGGCCTCCCAAAATGAATGTTTCATAGGATTGTTTTCTTTTAGGAGGGCAGAATATGAGAATCTTGGTTTTTTTAATGTTTACTTCAAGGCCCATAGAGTTACAGAAGTCGAATAGGATGTTTATATTGTCTTGCAAGGCCTTGGGACTTAGGGCAAGTAGGACAAGATCGTCAGCCCAGAGCAGATGTGATATTAGGACGTCAGCTAGAATAGGATAATCACCAACAGATTTCAGGAGAGATGACAAGTCGTTGATATAGATTTTAAAAAGGTCCGGTGATAGGGGGTGTCCCTGCTCTGTTCCTTTTCCAATGTCAATATTAGGGGACAAGAGTTTGGAGATTTTTATATGAGCTATTGAGTTTCTATACATATCACTTAGGCAATTGAAGAAGTTTCCAGTTATTCCAAGGCATGTGATTTTGTGCAGAAGGAGGTCCCTACATACAGTGTCAAAGGCCTTTCTTAGATCAACAAAGCATGCATAGAGGCGAGCTTTCTTAACCTTGGTATATTTGTCAATGACTGTCTTAAGGGTAAAAACGTGGTCATTTGTTTGAGCACCCTTCGAGAACCCTAGTTGTTCTTTTGGGTCAGGGCAGTAGAGCTTTTTGAAGTGCAGGAGACGCTCAAGTAAGATGCTAGAAAATAGTTTACCCATACAGCTACCAACAGCTATTGCTCTGTAGTTGTCCGGGCTGAAAGGGTTGCCAGACTTGTAAATAGGAGTAATGATGCTGGTGTGCCATGGATAGTAACCAGAGACCAGTGAGTGGTTGAAGTTTTTGAGGATGGCTTTGAGACAAAGCGGAGTTACGCTCTGAAGCATCTCGTTGGATATCAAGTCGTTTGAGCAACTTTTACCTTTTTTGAGATTTTTGATGGCAGAGGTCACTTCAGATTCTGACATGAGCTTATTTAGGATATCCAGATCTGGTGGTTCAGGGTAATGTTTGTGATTGTGGTGAGTGAGATCTGGCTCCTGGTCTGGTTTTTTATAAAGGGATGCAAAGAAGTCATGGAAGCTAGCTAAATCAAATTTGTCAAGTAAGGGGCTAGTGTCATGTTCTTGTTTAAGCCGTTTAAATTTTTTCCAGTCGAGTATGTGACCTTCTTCTATAGCTTCATTTAACTTCTTAAGGAAAGCTACTTTCTTACTGTTTACAAAATTGCTATGCTTGTTGCGTTGCTTAAAGTATTCTCGTCTGAGGATACAGTTACAGTGCTTACTACCAAGCCGGTTTGCTAGCCTATTTAGGTTCCGCCGTGAGGAGTTGACTTGTGGGTCGAACCATTTCTTACGGGCAGAATTTTTGGGAGGCTTTTTCACTTTTAAGGCTATATCAGCAGCACTGTGGAGACATTTTATGACTGCATCGTTCAGTTCGTGATTGCCCTCCAGAGTACTGCTAAATTCATTTGTCACAATGCTTTCCAGATTGTTGATAATTTCGGGCGAGGTAAGGGCTTTTTAAAATAGTGAATGGGAGGTGTTGCTATCCCACTTATAGCCACAAGGAAAGTTAGAAAAGTCTGGGAGCTGGAAGTTTGCGACAAATGGTTCAAATGTAGTGAGTTTCAAGACTAATGGACAATGATCAGAGTATGATGTAAACTCTTTTACTTGGAGAGAGTTTACATGATCTCTTGCCCATGAGGTGATTACAAAATAGTCAACCACACTGCTTCCATTGTATTTGTGACAGGTCATTTTTCCAGTGGTGTCCCCAAGGGTACGACCATTAAGAATTTTGAGTTGGTTATTGATAACCATGTCAAGAAAGTGTTGGCAGTGGGGTTCAGATATTGTAAGGTCAGAATTATTTCTTGGTTCTTCTATGTCGTGCTCGAGTCCAATGTCGTTATAGATGTCATGGATGGCAGGTGCATTACAGGAAAGGATATAGTCTGGGAGTTTTCCAGTTCTTGCATTTGCATCGCCACACATAATAACTTCTCCCTTTTGACGTAGTCTGATACAGATAGAGTCAAGAGCAGAGAAGGTATTAGCAGTATAATCTGGATTCTTCTTGACATAGGACGAGTATGCAGGGCTAATATAATAACATACCAAAAATAGGTCAAAATCAAGTTTAAAAAAGTTCTTGTCCAGTTTAGCAACAATAATGTCATCAGATTCATTACAAAGCACACTAGAGACACCTTTTCTTAGGCCATTTTCAGCAAGAATGCAGACCCCTCCTGAGCGTGAATTTTTGCGGTTGCTATTAAAAGAGAGGTATCCTTCAATCTTAACTTGCTTCTTTGTTTCTTGGAGACAAAGAATGTTAGCTTGTTTGAGGATTGACAAAAATTCGCTATTTTCAAATTTGTTAGACCCGTCTCCTGTGCTGTCCTGGATGTTCCAGGACATCACAGCGACTTGATCTCGTGATACTTGTTTTTTCTTGAATTTTAGGGTTAATCTAACGCTCTGTAGGGGGCTGCTTTCTAGGGGATCTCATACCAAAGGCACGGTATAGGCCAAGTTTAATATTCAAACAAAGTTTTTTCAAACCATACTCTGAGACATGGAGTTGGTCCTCCTTCAACGGGTTAGGAGAGTCTTGGGATGACTCAGCAGCAGAGATGGCACGGGAAAAGTTTCCAGTATTGTTTACAGTATATAGATTATAGGCGGCGGTAAAAGTCACTTAACCCTCTTTTAGCTGAGACAAATTGTGTTATTTCTGAGACAAATTGGTTGGTAAGTTCACTGATTAATCCAGGGGTTGGGGTGGGTAGGGAGATGACAACCTTTGCGCTGGAGCTCGAGAGGAGTTTATCGATGACTGATTTTGCATCCTCAATCGCTTTATTAACAGAGCAGGTTCTGTATCTGTAGTCGTTGACTCCAAGCTGGAGAATGTAACAGTCGACCTCTGGCTGTTTAATGACATCTCTCATACAGTGGTCTTTTATCATGTCAGTATAAGAGCCTACTTTCATTTTTTCCACCTTGAACCCAGAGGAAAATGACTCAGGTAGAAAGTTGTTCATCTGGGAGTCATGTAGGAGTAGAACCTTTTTCGGTTTTCGCGTTTGTCTACTAGGGCTGTGGGTTGGGTGGTTCTGGTTTTGAGGATGAGGCGATGGCTTTTTTCTTGATGGGTTGGTGCGGTCATTAAGCTGGAGAGACTGTAGGCAGGCCTTAGAGTCATCTACTTTGTTCTTAATTGCAGTGACATCTGCTTCGAAGGCTTTAAGGGAGGTGGCAGTTTCATGTTGTTTTTCGTTTATGCTGCTCATTATATCCTCTAACTTTTCAAGTCTCTTGTCCATAGTGTTGAGTTCATTAGACAGGTTAGGGGGGCTGGCACTAACTTTTTGATTGGAATTACTGTCAGAACATAAGACAAGTGTTTGGAGGGTGCTATGTTGTAGACTTATTTTGGATTGTAGATCAGAAATATTGATTGTAGATCAAGAAATATTAACTGAAAATATGCAAATATAGAATATCTTCGTGTGATGAAATGTATATCCGTCTCACTCTTTTTTGATACGATTGCTTCAATTTCTTTCTTTGTCTCTCTTTCTTTGTCAATGTCTCTTGAAAGGATGCGTCATCCAAATTAAATCATTGGTCAACCAGTAGTTACTCCATTTAGAACCAGGTTTATCTTTGTGTACTTGTTGTACAATATTTATACTACGTCACGTGGTGTTACTTTCAGCTCACGTTATCTTCTGATTTCCTCATAACGACACTGTTCTGTGGGTTTTTGGGTTAAGTAATAGATAAAAACTACTTGTTTAACACTAACAGTTTACACACTTGATTTAGACTTATGCGAGATTTAATATTAAATTAAAAAGTTGCTAACCTGGATAACAACAGGATTCTATTTCAGAGGAGATTCATACTATACAGGGTAGCCCCGTCACTTTTTCGTTGTATTTGAAGGATAGGGTCTGGGCTCTGAGTATTTTCTGCGATAAGACTAAGAGCTTCGTTATTCTTTTGGAGTTTTTTGTTTGTAATGATAGCCCAATAGTTGAGACTTTTAGGCTTTACGAATACATACCTCCTTTTCCTGACTGCCCCCGGTCGGAACAAGATCTTCTTCACATTTTTGGGCGGTGGAGTTGGTGTTGCTAATGCACCTTTCTTATTTCTTGGTTCTTGACACCGAGTGATCGAGCAGTCGTTAATAATAATATGAACTCAGCTTCTGGACGTCGGATCTTTGGATCATTGAGCTAGGGCTTGGGAGAGAGCTTTACTTGATTAGGTGAGATTTTGTGAGTATACTCTTTGGGAAGCACTGAGTGGCTGGGCGGGAGGATGGTGGGAGTCAAGGATATAGCATCATCTCTTTTCACTTCGATACCAGATACACATGGTGAGTCTTTTCTATTTTCAGGGTTCCTTCTGTGGCAGTATTCGGCACAGTCTGGTCTGTTTTTCTTGAGAGAAATTGTTCATTCAATCTTCTCCCCCTCGCAGACGACAGCCTATTGGCTGTGATATTAAGCGTGGATCTGATGGTTACGGGATTCACTGTAGACAGTATTTCGTTTAAATTGGCAGTTTCCAGACAACAGCAGCTCAGATAGAGACCACAACATTGCCATACAGCGGCATCAACTTTTCTGAGCATACTTCAGAAATAAGTTAGGGTGCGATCAATAATGAACATTTAATCATACTTTGTACTTCAAAAAACTTACATTAGTTATTTGATAGATGTCGGAATTACTGGGGTCATCGTTTTGATCAACAAATCCAAAGAAAGTTACAGGCCCAACTTAATTTTCATATTCTGGAATCCACCAGGTAACAATATATATTATACATCCGGTAACAATATGTATGTAATGAGATCGAAGATCAACTAACTCCCATTAAATATAAACAAAAGCTCTAAGAAACAGATAGTAAACAAAGTAAACATTTCTGTCCCCTAATCTTTCTCAAAACAAAAGTTATGCAATTTGCATACTTCTCCATTTAACTCTATTCTGAGCGATTAACGTTAAATAATTCAAATCATATAAATTATTCAACGATAATTTTCGAGCACTAAGGTCTTGTAGAATCAGCGAGAAAAGGTTTGACTGCGGTCTTCCACGCCGCCCTTGAAGCTGTAAGGTGTTAACAGCAAAAACAAGCGACGAATAGGCTGGACCATCTGTAGGCCCACGCATTACATGTCCGAGCATCCTCCACCGACTACGAGCCACTTTAGCTGACAATGGTTGACTATCCCATTAAATATAAAATTTAAAATCGGTATGCCATTACATTGATTGCAGTAGTTACGATTTGACCTAATTTTTCTACTGATTTTTGATACATTTTTCTAGAAGTTATGTTGTAAGGTGTCAGTCGCATCTTCTACAGTCTCACCGATCTCTTGCGAGGTGTCAGTCGTATCTTCTGTAGTCTCACGCATCTCCTGAGAAATCTCTCCAGTCTCTTGCGAAATCTCATCCGTGTCATGTGAGTTGTCACTTGTCACTCTGATCTCTTGTAAGGTGTCAACCGTCTTTCTCATTTCAAAATTCAACTTGTTCTACTCGTGCAATTATTGAATAACCCAATAATAGCGTTAATATCCCTCCCTCCCTCCCTCCCTCCCCCCCTCCCTCCCTCCCTCCCTCTCAAACTCCCTCCCTCCCTCCCTCCCTCCCTCCCTCCCTCCCTCCCTCCCTCCCCCCACCCTCTCTCCCTCCCTCCATCCCTCCCTCCCTCCCTCCCTCCCTCCCTCCCTCCCTCCCTCCCGTCCTCCCTCCCTCCCTCCCTCCCTCCCTCCCTCCCTCCCTCCCTCCCTCCCTCCCTCCTTTCGTGAAACTAAAGGAGATGATATATCTATTATCTATATATATATTTTTCTAGAAGTTATGTTTTCAGGAGTGCCCATATGATTATGATGTAAACAATAAATCAGTTCATTAGAGACGCTCCCCTTACGAGGGGCTTTCAATCAATCAAATCAATTAAACCAATTTGCATTCTATTTTCAGATACTCAAAAAGAATGGAGATCTGACCAACACTATACATGTCACATAACTGATGACGGTGGCGGGTGGACCAGATAAGTGTTGTCCTAACAGTGCTTATCCTTGCTGCAGTGACGGTCACTGAGAAAACTAAAAAGCTGACATCTTCTAGTTGTGTGCGGACTGTCAGGATCTTTAAAGATATCAGAGAATATCTGATGAAATTGTTCGGTGGCTAAAAGATACAAATAAAACAAAAAATGCATTTCATACCCACAATCAATACATATTAAGTTCAAATATTTTAATACTTATAGTCAAATACCATTTCACAGACTGTATAAAGGAATTATCTGGAAAATTTGTGTTTTGATAAAAATTTGTTTACAAGTGTATTAATAAATATAAATCAGATACAATTAGATATTCCCTGTTTTGTGTTCTGTCGCAAGTATTTGTCAAAATGGTCCATACGGATATCAGTATACACTATACACTTACAGTATTATACATGTCAACTCTAAGATTGAAGATAAAAACTGATAACGACACAAGCTCTATCCTATCTTGTATCTGAAATGTGAAACATCGATGGTTGCTAAAATTGTTCATTTTTATTATAATTTCTACCTTCAACATTTAACTTAACTTGTTTATATATCCAATGAAACAATATATTTCCTAATATCTGGAACAAATATTTTACGAGTATCACCCGTTACGGTTAAGTCGCAGTCATACTTGACACACGTTGATACTCCTTATATCGCGCACGGCGCGGCTGGCCGCAAAACACAGGAGGAGCTAAGTGCAAAGAAACTGCTACTAACTGCCACTCACTGCTACAATCGCGCCCACGCATTCGCGCGCCGTTTGTAGCAGTTAGTGGCATTGCATGGTTTCGCGCGGTGTGCGTTGGCTAAGGCTCTCTCCTGTGAGAAGGCTCTCTCCGGCACGAGAGAGGTATCCGTATTAGTAGAGGCTCTTACGGGCATTGTCTGCTCGATACGCTAGGGACCCCAGATACACCTTACTAGACGTATTTTTGACCGTAGAATCGATTAAAAGTGGTTTCAAGATGATTGGACTGAGTTAGTGCGTTTAAAATCGCAAAAAACCGATTTTGTTTTTTGATAATTTGAGCAAGTTAATTTTGTTGGCATGTCGGCAAAACTTGCATGAAGATAGCTGAAAGACAGCCGCACAAGATGGTATAAAAATAAAACAAATCCCTCTATTTTAGCGCAGGTAAAAATCCAAAAAAGTGGTAAAAATTTTGACTTTGTTGCTTGAAGTTTGAATAATTTTTTGCAGTTGTATTAAATCAACCCAAAAATAGTTACATCGTGTTTGCCTAAATTTTTCCTTTCCGAGAAGTACCCACTTCATATACTTTATCGAAGTTTGAATATTGTCACTCCGCAAGCGTTTTTGCCAAATTTTCGACGCGCACTACGCGCAAAAGCATTTAGTTGTTATCAATTGGCACCCGCGCGTTCATCATAAATTTCAAACAGCTATAACTCAGCGAGATTATGTTCGTTCTAGCTCATATTTTCACACCAAATAGAAAATAATGTGATCTTATTGCTGACAAAATATGAATATAATTACTCTATTTGCCTTAGAGTAATAGACTGTCAAAGTTTAAAACGCGCATTGGTATAGCACGTGACTAATAAAGCCAAATTTATACTTCGTAACATATTATCGATCCTTAGACATCATACTATTGTGTCCAATTAGCGGTTAGGTCTCTAAACTCGTAGCAGAAAACACGTATTTTTGCCCGTAAGAGCCTCTACTATATACACAATATAACATATAACGTGTAGCAGAGTCATACCAGGTTCGCAGTTCGTTTGTTGCAAAGAGCACTGAAGGGTACTGCGAATGATATGTGACCTTGTACAACTACCTGCACCACAATGAACACTAAATACTAGCTGGCCGGTTGCCCACAAAATATTATTTCTCGCTATAACCATGCCTGATTCACGTTGTCAATCTTTCCCAGATCGGCAAGGCCCAGTGGTGCATCTCGCCGATCTGTGGTTTGTGTTTGCGAGAAGCATTATTGGATGTGCGGCCCAGTAGTGCATCGTGCTACAAGCTAGTGTTACCACGAGATCCTAGCAAAGCCACTTTAATATTTGTATATTAATAACATTAATGATGAACCTACCAGGACGCGCACCTAGTAAATGACTGAGTGAATTACGCATTACTCGATTTCCATTACACTGAAAAAAGTGCAGATGCTCATTGAAAGTTAATTAATAATATGCATGACCAGCATATTCACGGAATCGTTTATAATCATTAATCAATTGC